TTTTATTAATCTCTAAAACAAATTGATGATGACAAGTATACCCTTAAGTGGGCGGCCAGCTTGGCAGTTACATAAAGAAAATAAAATAAGAACAAATAACAGGCCCATWAAGTGAGGCCCATCAACATAAAATAAAAGATAAAATAAAGGATATCACATAAGAGGCTGTTAGGGCCCATTCGGCCCAGTCTCTTTACAGTTTTGAATATCTCAATTTTCTCAAGGATTTTGCTTGCAAGATGGAACTTTTGTAATTAAGGATTTCTGTTTAAGGTGAATTTTGGCTGTAATTTTGGATTATTTTCCAGTTTCTAGGTTTTCAGCTTTAATTAGTTAGTCTTGGAGGAATTTATTATACATAGTGAACATTATAGTTAGTATGGTAATCATCATATTTACTATTTATAGCAATTCCTGAACCTACTGTTTATAGCAATCTTTTGTAAATTCTAGTTTCTTTAATTAATAATTTATTTATTTTTGATAATTCTTAATTAATGATTTATTAGTTACTTCAAAAAAAAAAAAAACTAGTTAGGGTGGTCTATTGGAGAGCAAGTTCTATCTTGTTCTTGTTTCTATTTAATATATGTTTTAAGTAGGTTTAGAATTAGAAAAAGAAATTTAAGGGATGTCTGTCCCTTTATCTCAGTCTATAAATAAGGCCATAATTATATTGGAATTTTAGAGTTGAAAATTTGAATAAAGTTATTGGTTAAAATTGTTCTTGTCACATTGGGGGTTCTTTTGTACTTATATGCTCATGTAATGGTAAAATTTTTGGGCTGGCAAGCATGAGAACACAAGATTGACTTTGAGAGTGGCCACTTTGTGCAAAAAATGCCAAAGGTTAGGACTGTATCTAGTTTACCCCTCCCAAGATACCAGATGGCTGGGATCAACATTGGGTAATGGCCTTATTTTTATGTTCGTCTTTGAAAAAAATCTTTTTGATCTTGTTATTGATAAAAGAAGGCAAAAGAAGCAAAAAAGAAAAAAAAAGAAGATACAAGGAAAAGAAAGAAGAATGCCGAAAATGGGGCTGAAGCTGTATTGAAGTTAACAGCATCTACTCCCCCTTTCTTCAAAGGAATACAATTTCAACCCTGCCATCACCAACAAAACACCAAATCCATAGTTGAGAAGATGAAATGATAACTCCTGCCTAAACAACCCAATACCACAGCAAGAAGAAGCCACAAAGCCTTAACAGCCTGACTGTCTACCTTCCCTTGACATCTATAGCCTTATATCTCTTTACCTTGACTGTCCTTCAGCCTCTTAGAATGAGTTTTGTCCAATGCTCATGACATCACCACTCTCAAGAAAACTGTCTCAGCTTCTAACCCATTAACTATTTCAAGACTTCCAACTGAAAAGAGGATAAAAATATCCCTCTTGACATGAGAAATTCCATTGCTTGACTATCACCTCCATAAATAACAACCATGTTTTCTTACAAGGTTTAATGGAGTCTTGATTGATTCTGAGCTAATCATGTTCAATATGCTAGTCTTAACTAGCATTATGCCATTGTCACTTGGTCCAATGATTCTTCAAATAAGGATCTTGGCTCTTGAATCACCATTACATTGGACTCCTTCACACCAATTTCACCCTTAACATATTCATTATCAAATAGCTGACTGAACACCCACAACCTCTCTTGCTCAAAACCCGCCAAAGATTTAAGTTTCAGTTTCTTGTTGGGCTTCTGCCCAATTCAAAACTGAAACATTCTTAGAAATTTCAGGGGATTTCGGATATCAGATAGAAGCTTCAGGAAAAGGCAATAGTATTTTGGTTTAATCCAATTTCTTTTTCTTTTTTTTTTAATATTTTCTTGTTCTTTATCCCATTCTCATATTTATCTCTTCATAATCATACCCTATGCAAACAACTATAATTTCTCCTATTTTCTCTGTTGGCATTATGAAATATGTTTTCTCTGTATCTGGTCACTCCCAAAATTGGAGTCAAATCTCAAAGTTCCAAATATTCAGTTGAAATTTTATACTTGAAACACACCCACCTTGGCCTCTCTTTCTTCCCTTGGGCTGAACTGACTGTGTAAGAGGATAGATATGCATTATCACCGTGGCATTCTGACAAGGTTCCACGAGCCTCAAGTCTGCGAGCAATAGAATGTGTGAATTCAGGACTGACGCTCACGAGGAGGCAGGATTGGAGAAGCCCTTGCAAGATTGTCAATTTAGGCTTTGCCAATATGAGGGACTTGCTTGATGAGAGTCACCTATATTGGTTTCACCGAATTAGCTAGATCTTGTATCCCATGGCTTCTCATGCAAGGAAGGAATGGTAGCATTTGGTGTGTAACAGACTTAGGGAAAGCCTGCACAACTGGCACCTGGTCCCCCACCTGACAGGTGTCTCTTCCCTGGAGCAACCTAGGATCTGCTGCTTTAACCAACTTTTGGAATATTCTGGAATGTTTCATGAGCCATGCACGACTGCATGGCCAGCATTCTCTTTAAATAGAGGATCCATCACCCTGAGAAAGGGGTTCTTTCCTCTTGTAATTACTTCTGCTCCATCATTTCTCACTCCATCATTGCATTCAACCTTCAGGGCTCTTAGACCGTCTGCTCTCAATCTGTATGGCAAAGAAAACCCCTCTACCATGGTGAAAGGGAGATCACCAGCACCCACATTTTGCATCCCATCCACTCCCTACCATCTTCCATCTCAGTGCTCTCTTCTCCCCCCCTTGGGCTAAAAGCATTAAATTTCTTTTGGGTTATTCATTTTCTTTATGGTCGGGTTAGTGGAGCCTGTACATATCATCCTAAAGTTCCTTTAGTTGCAAAAGATATTCTTTTCTCTCTCCAAATCCTCCACCATACTGCAAAGGAAATTATTACATATAAACCTTTACAGTGCTATTAACTTCAAAATTAAATAGATATATAATTTGGTGAGTTGAAGATGCTCCAAAACTCTAGATCTTTCTAAATTTGGGGATGTAATGATTTGGTTCCATTTGAAGCTCCTATATCCACTCATCAGTGACCAATCCAGGCATTAGTCAAAAAGCATGAAGTTATATTAGAATAATGATTGACTTTGTATATCATCTGGCTGAAACAGAAAGAGTTGATACCTATGACTATAATCAGTCAAACAAGAAAAGTTGCAGATTTGCACCTTTCCCTGTATGTTTTTTAGCTTTTAACATTCAGTTTCATCGTTCTTTCTGAACTTCATTATTATACTTTTTTTTTTTGTTTTTGCATTTTGTTTTATCAAACAGAAGAAAACTAATCTTATTGAAAAAATTGAGCCTTTCAGTTACGTGTCAGATTAGACAATCTTTTTAACCTCTATTTTGACCAATGTACTCTAGGTTAATTGAGGAACATATATGTTCTTTAAATTTTGAGCACAGAATGACTATGCATAAGGGCAGAAGTCATGGCTTTACTCCAAGGCCTGAGATTGGCAAAACAATGGGGAATGCAACACTTAGAAGCAAGGTCCAAAATATCGATACGCCCGATACGCCGGTAGTGGCATATTGGGCAGTATCAGTAGCTTTTTTTTTTTTTATTTTTTTTTAGTTTTTTCTGAATCTGGTTCAGAGGGGCCGGTTAAGGTCCGTTCACCCTCTGAACCGGTCGGGACCCCAAAACACCCCCTGTAGGGGCGTATTGGGAAGCCCCTGATACGATACGTATTGGCCGATATGGCCCAATACTTTGAACCTTGCTTAGAAGTGGAAGGAGACTCCAAGCTGGTAATAGGGTGGATGCAATCTAGAAACCTGGGAGTGTGGCCTCTTAGACATGGTTTAAAGTATCGATACGATACGCTCCGTATCGGGCGTATTGTATCGTATCTTTTGAAAAAGATACGCTCCGAAATGCCTGTTTCCAGGTGTTTTGGAACCCCAACTTTTTTTAATAATAAAAAACATGTTTTTAGCTTCCCAAAAAACCAAAATTTGAAAAAAAAAACTAAAAAAAGTAGAGTTTCGGCCATTTCTAAGTACCGATGTGATACTGCCGATATGCGTATCGTATCGATACTTTGTAAACTTAGCAAGGGAGCTTGGGGTGCAGTTTAAGTGGGTAAGGTCAGCAAATGGAATGAATAACGCTTTAGCTAAGCAAGGGGTAAATAGGGTGGCTTTGTTTTGGGCTTGTTTGTAAGGATTTTTGTTTGGGCTTGTTACTATTTCCTATAAAAAAAGACTATGAATAGGGCTTTCTGATATAGAATATATTGGCATTGCATGTTACATTGCATATCCTTGTTGCTATTTTGTGGTTATAATTTATTATTTTCTTGCTCAGATAAGCCACCTATAGAGGAGCTACAGTACTTCTTAGAATTTCAGATTGCACGAGTCTGGTCACCTGAAAATAGTAATCTTCCAGGATATCAGCGAAAGGAGCCTGTGTGTCCTTCCTTGCAGTACAGCTTGATGGGTCCCAAGCTTTACATCAGCACAGATCAGGTATCTCCATTGTTTTGACCGCTCCTTTCAATGTTCAGAAGAACTAGAGAAAAACACTCAGTTATAAGTTGTCTACTACCTCTTGGTACCCAAAATAAAAAATTTCTATTTTGTGATGACTCTGGTGAAGCTCAGAACATCTGCTTGTGTTGTTATATAAATTTCTTGCCTTTAAAAAAATGTGGAAGGAGATAATATTCATCATGACGGGTCAAAGATCTGTATCTATGTTGCACACAGTTAAGATACAAATAGATTTATTTAAATAGGACAAAAAAAAGGAACATACCATGTGGCTCTTTTTTTTTTGTGGGGGGGGGGGGGGGCGGGGAACAAAAAGCTGAGCCCATGAAGTCTACTCTATAAAAATAGAACACCAATTCAACGTACCCTTATTAAGGCCACTCTTCACCAATGAGTTGGTCAGAGAATTGGCTAACTGGTTGGTTGCACTGGCATCAAAACAAAATACAGCAGAAACCCAGAAACCCAAAACCAAAAGGCCTATTCAAGAAAAGTAGACCTGCACTAGGCTCAGCCATGTTAACTCAAGTCCTCATCAATAAGTCGGCTACAGAACTGGCTGGCATCTTGTTCCAATGGAACAAGTTCATGTTGGCGGAAAGAGATCCTCCTTAATGTAATCATGATCAACCAAGAATCGTCAGAGTCCTCTCTCATCCAACTGATCACCTGGAAATTCCTCTCCTTGCTTTCCGCTCTAGCAAAGCCAAAGCAGTGTGGTTTACCCATGAAATGGACCTGAATAAACAAGCACAACCTCATTTTCGTGTCTATGGTCTCCAAAAACACCATCTACATTTGATCTCCCAGATTTCCCAAAGAGCACCATCAAGGTTTAGCTCTATACTCCTCGAGAAGGGTGGGAACAAGTGACTGGAAAGATACTGTCTAGTCAAAGAAGGTTCCACATCATCCACAGGAAGGGCAGAATTCCTTGTTGACAATCCAGGGGGTGTTCTACAACATTAATATTTTTGTTTCCATGTCTTTGAAATTGCCATATCAGAAAAGAAAAACCCCATATTCTTGAACTCTGTTTTTGTTTTCAAAGGTGAAAACAAGTTGGTTTTGTTTCAGAAAAAATACATGTTCTTGGAACCATCAAAATAATGGTTTAAAACAAAATCAAATTTTGTAGTGTAGAAATTATATGATTTATGGAACATGATATTAAATTATTAGATGAAAGCAAGAATTCAAGAACATGTTTTTGGTTTCAATTTTGAAAACAAAAAACACATACAGAACCAAAAACATGTTTTTTTTTGTGTTTTTGTTTTGAGAAACATCTTTTCAAACCAGATGGTTCTGATTTGTTTTTGGAACCAGCAACAAGAAAAACAATTCATGTTGTAGAACGCCCCTCCAGTGCCACCCTAATTGCAATGGGGTCAATGATAAATTTATGGCTCTGCTCCTAAGCTGGCACTTCTCTCCCCCAATTGATCAAAGTAAGCTGCTCTCAGACCCACATAACCCTTTCAGTTTCAGTGTGAGGGGAGAAGAAAGAGGTACAAATTAGCATTAAATAAAGAAAAATAGCACCAGATCTTTTCACAAGCGAAAGCGATAAACTGATGCATTATTTCTCTACTAATCTTGTTTATTCCATTGTTTAATCTGATACTATAATTGATGGGGGTAAATGATTACATTGCTATAGTAGTCTAAAATTCTAAATACATTTCTGGCTCTACAAATATCAATTTTTTTATTTTGCCACATCAATTTCTGAAACTTGTATGGCCCCATACATATCCAGCAAATAGATCCCAATTTATCTGATCTGTCTTTTGCTTCTAAGTTTGTTCGTGCCATCATATTTTGCAGATAACAGTTGGTCGTAAGCCTGTAACTGGGCTCAGACTTTGCCTCGAAGGATGCAAGCAAAACCGATTAACCGTCCATTTGCAGCATTTGGCATCTCTTCCTAAGATCCTACAACCCCATTGGGACTCACACATGGCCATTGGAGCACCAAAATGGCAAGGTCCTGAGGAACAAGATAGCCGGTGGTTTGAGCCAATTAAGTGGAAGAATTTTGCCCATGTAAGCACAGCACCCATAGAGCACACTGAGACCTGTATTGGGGATCTTTCAGGTGTTCACATTGTAACTGGGGCCCAGCTAGGTGTCTGGGATTTTGGTGCCAAAAGTGTCCTTCACCTGAAACTTCTCTTCTCTAAGGTACCGGGCTGTACAATAAGGAGATCAGTGTGGGATCACAACCCCTCAAGTACTTTTCCGCACAAGGTTGGCAGTGCATCTTCTTCATCCTCTTTAAATGAGAGAAGTTCGGATGATAAAAAGGTTGATAGTTCGGGCCAGACTGGGAAGCTGGCAAAGATCGTTGATTTGACAGAGATGTTAAAAGGACCACAAGACATACCTGGCCACTGGTTGGTTACGGGGGCAAAACTTGGGGTTGAGAAGGGAAGAATTGTGTTACGTGTAAAGTATTCCCTATTGAACTATTGAAGATCTCTTGTTGTAATACTTTGTATCCCTTGACGGCATTGCCAAGCATATTTTTTTTGCACAGCAAGCACGATTGTTCATTTGTTCTTATGTAAATACTCCATGTCTTCATAGTGTCTGATTAGGATCTGAGGTCCTGTTCTTTTGTCGTTTGATTTTGGTGCTGATTTATGTTTTCTGGGTGAGGTTCCTTTTTAAGAGTATGCTAGTTGGTCAAAATAAATATATTTTGTAGTTCTTTGGAAGAATTTTACTATGTAAATTCTCGTTTGGTTGAATTTGATATCAAGGGGTAACAATTTGAGAACGACCCAAAGCAGGAGACATGTTCTCGTCTCATCAAGTGGACTCGTTGAAGTCCCCCAATTTCAACCAAGTCAAGGTTATTTTTGACGCTTCAGTTCAGGGTCATGGACAAGCTGCTATATACACATGCAAGGTTCATATCTGGTACATTGATTGTAACGTATTACCTCACACAAGCAGTTAAGATGTGTACTTTTAGGATATACTTGTAACTAAGCACATGCATTGCACATGAGAAAATTTTCTTCATATTAATTACCTGAATTTTAGATATATCATAGTTAAGATAGAAATTGAAAATTAAAAAAAAAGTAACAATGTGATTAAAAATAAACTTAAATATTTTATTATTCAATTAAGACATTATGTATTTTTTTTTGAAAAGTTGGATCATTGACCCACCATCTAGATACGAAATAGCATTGCTTTCGAATTAGTTTTAAATTAGGGGAAATTATAGTCGGAGCCGGTTGTACACTTAAAATTTGGTTACAAGTTGGTCCATAAACCAACAAAACTCTAACAAACGTCTCTACATTTCAAGTTATAAAAGTCCTCGCCATGTCATCGGAGGGTAATGTGGCTATTGCCAACATGGGACTCTTAATCCATATTAGACATAATAAAAAGTACTGAAATTGCCCTTTAATGTTGGGCGATTGGAAAATAAAAAAAAGGGTTTTTAGTTTCACTCTCTCTCTCTCTCTCTTTCTCTCTCTCTCTGTCACAATTTCCCTCACACTCTTTCACTCATAATCATCTTTATCTGCTCAACGACTATGTGATTTGAAAATAAAAAAAAATGGTTTTTGGTTTCTGTATTTACGTTCTCTATATCAATTTCTCTCATTCTTTCTCTACTTATCGTTCTCCCACAATCTCTTATTTCTTTCTCGGTCGGTTTCTCATTCTCCCTTAATTTTTATCGTTCTCCCTCAGTTTCTCTCCCTCTCAGTCTTCGTTTTTTATTTTCTTATTTTCTTACACACTTATATGATATTAATCAGATCGTATAAAAGAACATGAAACCAACTTGGTATGGTTCAAAAAATTATTACACCAATTTGATAAAATTCACAAGAAACTCTTGGCTATGAAATTTACACCAATTGGAGAATAGTAAAGATTGAGGGAGAAGAAGATTTTGACCGAAAGGGAGAGTGAGGGAGAAGAATGAGATAGATTGAGGGAGAACAATAGAGAGAGAGAGGTTTTGATTTGGCTACAGACCAAAGTGGAGAGAGTGGGAGAGACAGAGGGAGTAGGAGATCGAGAGATGACTGTGAGAGTGAGAGAGAAGGAAGGGCGATTGAGAGACAAAGGGAGTGGAAGAGAAACTGAAAACCTATTTTTGATATAGGTTTTCTGTTGTGTCCAACATGGAATAAGAGTCCCATGTTGGCAACAACCACATAAGCCTCTAATGACATGGCGAGGGTTTTTATAATTTGGAATGTAGAGCTAGTTTTCAGAGTTCTGTTGGTTTTGGGCCAATCTGCAACCTAATTTAAAATGTACAATCGACTTTGACTATAATTTTCCCTTTAAATTATATATTTCATTTACATTATATAAAATATTTTTTTACTTATCACACTTAAATTTTGTTTGTCTATAGTATCATTTTACTCAAACCACTAACCCACCATCTAAAAATAAAAATTGTTTGATTTCTAGGTTGACATTAAATTTTGTATTACATTTCCATCATTGATAAAATTATTTCTTATGTATAAAACTTATTTTTGTTCAATATAATGAATGTATAATATTAGAGATGTACCCAATATTTTATTTTATATATATATAACATTAGATATGTACCCAAAATTTTCTCTTATCTTTTTTTATTTTTTATTTTTGTGATTCTTTGTATTTTCTATTATAAAAAATTTTATTATTTGACTATGACATCATTTAATTTCTAGGTATATTTTGAAATTGGCTTTCCATTTTCATCATTAATAAAAATACTTCTTACGTTTCATAGTTATTTATTTTAATTTTTATTATTTAATTATGACATTATTTATTAATCCATTTGACCCCAAAATGGTCAAATTGCTTGCCCACCACTAGGAGGGAAGAAAATGGCTTTGTTTTCAAATTACTTTTCAATATATTTAATTTTATACTATTAAAATTAATATTGTGGATTTAATACAAGAATTTAATGATGAGAAGAATATATTTTAAATATAGGATTTAATGAGAGAGAATAGGAAAATATTTTTATTTCCAATTGGTTTTAAATTTTATATTCCATTTTCATCATTAATAAAAACATTTCTTATTTAACATACTTATTATTGTTTAATATGTATGTTAAAAATGTTCCCAATTTTTTTAATTTCTATTTTTTTATTTTATCTATTTTTTAATTTTATTATTTAATCATGGCAGCATGGATTAACCCATTTAACCCAAAATGATTTAATTTCTTACCACCACTTAGATGAAAATACTATTTTTTCTAGGTAGATATTAAAGGTATAAGCTTTTATGTTTTTGGAATTATTAATTTATTAAGTATAGATTTAATTAATAGAACTTAATGATGAGAAGAAATAAGAATGACTTAAATATATGATTCAATGAGCATGAATCCAAGTTAATAACTTAAATGTTGGATTTAATGAGAGAGGATTGAATGCATTGAATATCTTTAAATTACCCATTTTCAACTCATTTAATATTAAGAACCAATTACCCTATTTGCCCTCATTTTTTTTTCATTAAATTTAAATATAGAGGGGTAAATATTGTCCTTAGAAAATTCCAGAAATATTCTTAGGGCCATTCGTACTTTTAAAGTAGTATAGATTTGGGTTTCCCTACCATATCCTTCTCCCAACTGGTTGGGATTGGTTACTTGAATCCTGTTTTGACATTCTGTTCTATTCAGTGCAATATTTATTATTAAATTATGGGCACTTAAATGATTTTTTATTATTTCCAAAGTCTTTAGTCTAGTCTTCCCCTAGCTCTTCTAGCCCCTTTAACTCCAAGTTCTTGTAGATGGTCTTCTATACATATAACCAAACTATCTTAATCTACTTTTCTCTCATTTTATCATGTGTTAGAGCTACCCCTAAATTTCTTTGTATAACTTCATTCTAACCACGTATTTTTTTTTTTTAAATTTTACCACTCATCTATGTGAGAATTTGCATTCTTGTTACACTTATTATTTTTTTTCTGGAGCTTTTCGTTTGGCCCAGAGATATTTGCCTATCACATAAGATTTTGCATGCACCTGTTTATTTTGTCCATTTTGTTTTAATTCTATTGGCAAATTCCTCAATCTCTTATTTATTATAAATTAACAAACCAAGATAATGAAAGAGGTCACATTGAATGATCTCCTCATCTCCAATCCTCAATATACCCTGGTATATGTCGATATGCGTCATAAATTTGTCTTTTTAAGGGTCCATTTGGTTAACGGAAATAGGGGTCTGGAACCAGAATTGGAATGGTCTATTATGATTCCAATCATTTGGTTGGGTAGAATGGGAATCTCATTACCATTCATGGTGAAATGGCATTATCCCTTTTGAGGGAATGGTCATTCCCATTCCCTCCCTTGAGAATGAAAATCCATTCCAGCTGACTCCAATTCTTGTCTGAACCAAATAGATGGGAGGAGTAGAGTATTCCAATTCCATGGATTTCGGTTCTGATTGCAAACCAAACAGGCCCTAAAATTGTCATACCCAATACTTTGAACCTTGCATTTTGGATATATGGGCATTTAGGGGTGGCTATGAGCCGAGCTGCTCATGAGTTGTTCGAGCTCAACTCAGCTCGGTCTAAGCCGAGCTTTGAGCCGAACTCGAGCCTAATATATAGGCTTGTTGCTACCAAATATGAGTCCTAGGGCAATAAGGTGATTTCTCTAGTGTTCAAGGCCGATAGGTCCAATATGTAAACAAGAGAAGAGCACATTAGAGGCCCTAGGTATTATCCTTGGGGAGGAGACTCCAACGTCAAGTTAGCCGAGTGCTTAAAGAGGGGTCAGACCAGGCAAGAAATGAGAGCTCAAAACTTAGTCCTTAATAGCCAAGAATGGTTCTCTCTGGATTATGGATGGATCCTTACCTTGAGGTGAGTGCCCCCTTTTATAAATAACCTTGCCTTAGTAGTGATTGGAAGTAGTTGGTGATGTGGCCAGGATTTGATTTGGTCGACGCCACATGGCATGATCTAAGGCCTGCCAAGTATCCCTACATCACTTGCCCCCCACTCTCGAGGCTGTAATGGTTGAGGTCGGATGGCGTGTTGCACGGAGACCTTGGCTTCGATTGAAGAGAGTACAATGGAGGCATCAACCTCGGCTACAAAGGACTCTTCTTGGCGGTCGTGTAGCAATTGCTTCTTTGTTCGCTCTCCATCTCAGTGAAGGATTGCTACGAGCCAAGAACGCATGACTGTGGCTTGCACGGGTGTGGGACATCCGCGTTCTTTGGCCGTGCCCCGTACGGGTGTCGACATCATTGTTAGACAGTGTATGCCCTTAGCTCCAATAAGATTGATGCACATATACATTTATTGTAAATGAATATAAATAAATTATTGTTTCATGTTGATATTGGTATGTTTCTGTGAAATTACCCCTTAAAATGGACACTTATAAGACTCGTGTTAGTTTAGAATGTTCTCAGCCATTGGATAGACTTGGGGAGTTTATCCCGCCAAGGTTGACACTAATGTCCTGCCAAATAAGTTGGGGTAACTTGTCTCAGCTACTAGGGTTTGACCCAAAGCACATGCAATGTGTGTTTGGTTGAAACACTGAACCTAGTCCATTTTTCAGTTATGCCTTGGACCTTGGAGATTGATGGGAAAAATTGAAAAGTTACACATAACTCCTAGACTTGATTATGGTACTGTACTAGTTGTCGAATTGGGCTCTCTTTGATATGCCAATCAGTGAGATCCATTGAGGGTCAAAACCTGGGTATGTTGGGGCAGTTTGA